GCGCAGAGCCTCCTCTTTGTTCCCTCCCGCAGAGCACTACAGGCACCACTGGTTCCCCCTGGTGCCCTCCAAGGGCTCCGGCTACCGCTGCATCAGGATCAACCATAAGATGGACCCCTTGATAGGAAAGGCGGCGGGGATGATCGGACTGAGCCACGAGAGGCTCTTCCAGCTCTTGCCCAGCGAATTAACGCTGTGGGTCGACCCTTTCGAAGTGTCCTATCGCATAGGTGAGGATGGGTCTATCTGTGTGCTGTACGAAAGCCCCCCGCCTGGGGGGAAGGCGGCCAAACAGCTGGAGAGCAGGACCAGCTGCAAGGAGGAGTGGAGGATTGGCAGATCCAGCCCTTCCAAGAGTTACAACATGATGACGGTTTCTAGTTAAAAACAACTCTTCCCTGTACGATGTTGTATGTATCCCAACCTCATGGTAAAGTTAGATGTAACTGAGCATTTTTTTGGTTTTAAATTTTTTTTTTTTTTCACCCTATAGTCATTAAAGTCGTGGTAGTACTGCCAAGTTCTTTGTGGTCAAGGGCTAAATGTATAAAGCAGTTCTTTACACTGCATGTTCCTTTCTGGGCTGTGTCCTGTAAATGCACTGTACAGTTGGTGGATTGTTTTACACATTTATATTTTCAAAAAAGTTCTGCGTATTTGTAATAAAAAGCAATATTGTAGCACTCTTTATGATGGGTTTTAGTCAAAATTGGTACTTGCTAAAAAACAATCTCTAATTTGCAGAGCAATAACACAAAGTGGGGTGGGAAACAGATCTAACAAACTGCACATAAATCTTTGCAGTGATTTGTCTGCACAGACTTCTCTCAGGGTCATTCAAGTTTGACTGTGAGGCACAAATCACAGAAATAACTCTTTATTTTTCCTTCTTCAAAGCATGCATTTATTTGTGGGCTAGGTTCCATCACACCCCAATATTTTAGCAAAATAGAACTGGGGAATTAGTTGTCTGGTTATTTCTAGTTATGGGAGTAGAAAAATAAAGACTTGCTTAAAATGATTCTGGCTTGTTTTGGTAGTGTGCTTTTGTTTGTTTGTTTGTTTGGGGGTTTTGTTTGGTTTTGTTTTCTTTTCCCCCAGGCTTTTAACATTGCTCTTAAAGCTTATTCTGTGTATTTCTAATAATTGCAGAAAGCTTTGTAGTTAGAGGTGCAGCAGTGAACATCCATCTTCATTTCAGATCACAACAAAACACTCAGTTTTGGGAAAGCTTGCTGGCTGCCTGTCTTCAGCTGAATAATCTGGGGAGAGCTGGGTGGGTTTTTTTGGTACTGAATGAAAGCAAAAATACTCTTCTAATATTTGATCTATTGCAGAAAAAAAAAAAAAAAGCTTGAGTTTATAAGGAAATGGAGTTTGGGTTTAAAACTGCAACCTGCACCATGTAGGAAGCTGGAGTGAAAATTATCAGCAATGCTGTAACTGCCCTGGCTTTTCTGGAAGGTAATCCTGCTGTTTCTGGCTTTGAGCTCCTCATTTTTGTCAGGGTCTCCAATACCAGTTGGGCACCAGTTTTAGTGAAGGTGTAAACCACAGCAGGTTTGATGTAATAACAAAAGTTTGTGTTGCTGGTTTATGTGGATGCTCTTAGTGTTGATATCCCAGTAAAGGATCTATTTTACAGATATTGTGACTCCTGTTCTAAGAAGCAGTGGTTTCTAACTCAGCCACAGAAAGCTGCCTGGCATTGCTGATTTCTGGAGCCTGGTGTTGGAGCACAGTGGAACACTTGATGAAAGGGAGCTTTGTCTGGTGTGAGCATGTCAGCAAAAAACCCCTCCTTGGGCTATGTCAATACCATGGCAGAACACAGAGCCAGGGAAGGGGCAAGTCTGGGCAAACTGGAAAGGGCAGAGCTGCAGCTCACAAAGAGGTTTTTTCTTTGTTTGCCTTAGAAAAAGCTGTGGCTTGCTTCTTGCTGTTTGCTTATTATCTTGGAGGCAGGCTTGTCTGGTGGTATTTGTTTAATCTGGGGGAAATGTATAGTGCCATTTTCTTAGTAATTAAAACTCTGTAAAAATTGATTGTGTGTTTCTAGTCTATCACTCCAATAAATAAGTTTCTGGGTTACTTTAACAAATGGGTGTTAAAGGTCTGCTGGCAAATTGCCTTTTTATTAGATAAGATTGGAAATCGGTTTTCATGACGTTGTTTTATTCTCTCGAGGCAGTAACACTTTCCTTTTCCTCTCTGATGAATATTCAGTGTGGGTAATCCTATTTCCTGGGGACCTCTAAGGGATGTATTTGACACATTTGTCAGTAATTGAACAGAATAACTTTAAATCTGCTAAGGGTGAGGTGCCTCCTTTGATTAAATTTCATTTGAAGGGTAATTGCCCTTGCTGCACATTATGTTAACAGCCCACTGGAAAAGATAGGTGTGAAATCTTCAGCTTAACAGGAGGTTTTCCATAGCAGGAGACACTTGGAGTGGAATTGAAGCTGACTTGGGAGTGAGGATGTGATTTCCAGCTGCTGGCTGTGCTCTGAGGTGCAGGAGGGCACAGCAGTGTCTGTCCATGTGTGAGCAGAGAGGAGCCTGGGCTAATCCAGCCATGATGGATTCTGCTGCTTTTGTTAATCCCTCCCTCAGCAATGGGATGTTTCAGATGTTCTAGAATGCCACATCTCCAGTGTCCAATGCTCTCTGTAGGTTTGATGTCTATCATTGGATGGGCACTTTAATGCAAGTTAGATTTGATGTATTTGAGCTACTGGCCTAGAGCTGAAGTCACTCTGCAGACAAACAGGTGGGGGACAGGAGGAGTTGGACAAAACCCACTGGAGCAAAGCAAACTCTTGAGCTGCAAGAAACACCCTGTGATATCTGTGCCATCTAGAGCTGCATTCCAGTGCTTTAACAAACGTCAGAGATGTACTGACAGCACAAAGGCTGTTCTGAGGGAAGAGACTGCTTGGTAGGAAGCCAGGGAGGCTGTTATTTGGAGGAGGGAAAGAAAAAACTTTGTGTTTTCCCTGAAAGGTGATAAGCTTTGTGTTCTGCTGTTGCAACAAAAAAGGCAAAATCTTAACATCTTTAAAATAACATATTTGTCACACAAGGCTGATCACAAATCATTGGTCATGGCTTAGAACAGACTGGTTTGGATTAGTGCATGCTTGAAGCAGTAAAAGTACATGGAGAAGAAGCAGTCTGTGCTTATTTGGATGAGGAGGGGTTAACTGCTGGGTAACTAAAGCTGAAATAGGGGAGGAAAAATTGTGCATTTGCCTGTTTCTCTAAAATATTGCCTTGCTGCCAAATGAATTACATAACATTTGTCTGAGTGGTAAAATCCAGCTGAGCCAGAAGGTGCTGCTGGTTTATACAGCCTGACCACTTGTGTGCTGCAGTTCTGGTGTATCCCTGACCCTGAGAGCACAGGGATGAATGGCTTTGCTGTGAGAACAGCAGGAGATAAGGGATTGTCTGTACTTGTTCCAGGTTCTATTGCCTTTAGAGCTAGGTGAATTAAAATATGAGATTTTGGATGTTTAGGTTTAGTTTGTAACCACTGGTCCTCATTTCCTTATCCTCATGATGAAAGGCTTTTGCAGTGTGTAGCACTTTATACTGCCATCAAATTAAGCCTGGTTTTCATATTTAAAGGATTTAAAAGATCAAGCTTTTAAAGTTTGAGCATAAATGATTTTCTTTTAACTGGGATTTACATACATGCTTTTTGCCAACACTTGTTCCATTTTTAATGTGTGCCTGAGAATGTGTTCCCAGGGACTGAGTGCAGTGAACCAACTGATGCAGATCACTCCATTCCCACCACGATTTGCTGCTCACCAGCACTGACACTGCTGAGCTTCACTCCACTGAGAGCAATGCACACTCCTGACAGAATTGCTAAAATCATGCTCAAATGAACTCATTTTAATTCCTGTAATATGTTCCTCACTGATATTTTGTCTAGAATACCACATGTTTTAGGTGAAGTAAAAAACCTAAATAATGAGTTTGTGATTTCTCACTCAAAGAACAAATCCCAGGTTTGTTTAGTAGCTTTCTGTACAGCTGGGTTGATTTGCATTAATGAAATTGTTCTCCTTATGATACACTTATGATGAAGTGAATTAATACCTGATAAATTAACCTCCTTTTTACTTTTAATCCACAATTAAAAGTTTTGTTAGTCTCCTGCAATTATTAGTTGTTAATTTTTTTACATTGAGACACTTACTCAGAGAAACTTTATATGTGTTCCCACATACACTGAAAATAGATATTGGGGTCCCACTGACATCCTAAGGCAATTCTCTTGGGCATTTTCTAGACTTTGTGGTTATGTTTTTCCTTATGAAACCTCAGCATATTTTTTTTATATTATCTGTTCTAGTCATAAGTATATTTCCATTATTTCTTTATCCTCATGCAATACAAAGTTATCAAAGTTATCCACATTACCAAATACAGGTAGGCAATGTTTACTGATCACTCCCAGCTTTTTGCTGAACACTTTTGTAATTTTACCTTCTTCCTCTTTTCAGGACTAGCATTCATTTAAGTGCTGATGTGCCTTAAAAGGTCTTAACCTTTGTGTAACTGGTTTTCTTAGCTATTTGAACCATGGATTTTCCTCTCCTGTTCTTAGCTTCCTTCAGATTTTTTTTCAACTTCACAATAATTTGTGTATGTCAGCTTTTTTTCTGTTTCACCTTGGTTTTCTTTAATTATGAGAATTTGGATTTAATTTTAACTGGAGAATTTGGATTTAATTTTCACTTGTGCCTCCCATTGTCTCAGTGTAGCAGCCCTCAGCCATCCTTTGGCTGTGTGTGATTCTCCAGGCTGATCCACATTGCCATGGCAGAGTGGGAATTTTGTATCCTTGTGTAATAGAGATGTGCTGATTTCTGATTAATAAAGTTGATACTTCTTATAAATCATTGTTCTCATGATTCCAGAGTCACTCTTAGTAATATATAAGCTATAGGAATAATAGACTTATTTATTTTCATGGTTTTCTTGCTGGGGAGTGAATTTATTCCAGAAATAACAGGTGATATTTTGCCTTCTGTTAGAAGAGTATGTACAATTTTCATTGAGAAGTAAACTGCTGATTTTAGCTTGAAATTTGAGTAACTTTGGTGGGCAATGTATTTTGAGATGGAATTGCATGGAAGGATCTTTCATGTGTGGGAGATTCAGCTGCCCCTTGTTTGCAATCAGCAGGACAATCAATGTCTGGAAAGTGTCAGGAGGCAATGAGAGGGCAAATTAAATTGTGATTTGTGACCACTTTGGTGTTATCATTGCTTTAAACTCCTGGGCTCTGGATTATTGATGGTAATATTTGTATAACCTCGTTAGCTGTTATGTAAGATGAGTTATTTTTCACAGTGGTTCTTAAAAATCCAAAGAAATAAAACAAACAAATGTCTGTTCAGCTAAACTAAACAGCAAATCAGCCTTAAGTCACTGAAAGATAAAGCTGCAAATATCTCTATTGATAAAATAATTTCAAAACAGAGAAGGAAGAAGAAATTAAATCATCAAAATGTTTGATAATGTTTCACACAAACCTCTAGTGCTAAGTAAATACTCATCTTAGAGAAATAAGTTTGTAGTCCTGGAGGTATGCCAAGTATGAAAGTTCATCTCTGAAACAAATTTATTTACAACAATATTTAAAAATATTCTTTTTAAAAGAAAAATGCATATGTAAAAGGAAATTCAGTCTTTGTAGATGCTGTGATGCAGCACATTTCAAAATGAACTTTTTAGAGGGGAAATTCTTATCAACTTTATTTGTAGTGAAGTAGTAGTAAGCACAGTGAACTTGATAAAGCCGATTTTCTGTGGGGCTGTTGTGGCTGCAGGATGATGTTTGGGGTGAGGCAGAGCCCAGTCATGCAAGCTGGGCCCAAATTGATCATTCCAATGCTCAGTTCCTGGCTGTGGCCTCACATGGCTGATGGCACTTGTGTAACTCCCAGGCTTTTCTGCTCCAGGACTGGGAAAATGAACAAACACACAAGGAACTGGGGAA